AAGAAGAAGCAATTTTATATACTTACCTTCAGTAAGAACTGAGACCGCCAAGAAAAGTTTTTATTATAATGACTCAGTTGTGTATAATAACTATTTATTAAATAAGAATCAGTTTTAATTGTTATACTGTACTATTTTAACTTAGTTACTTAGTTTCTTATTATTTATTTGTAAAACTTTTTGTTATTTTGCAATTTAGGGCTCCTATTGATAACAGATATACCTTTAAGTATTCTGAAGGGATTACCCTAATTAAATAAAGGTTTACTACTACTTGTGAATAAAATTATAACTCATTTTTCTGGGTCACCGGATAAGACTTTTAATTTCTCAGGCAATTGTTACATATGCGAATCTGTGCCATGGCTACACAGGATGTAACATAGTTTAATCGACTGTAGTTAGCCACATGAATGCATTCGTTCAAAAAGTTGACGTTGAAATAATTATAGATGGACAACAGTTAAGTTTTTAACTTTTTTCATTAGCTCTTGTAACATTTTGATAACGCTTAGAGGGCCACAATTTTATAAGCGTTTGGCTATGAAGTACCATCCTGGCCCCTCGAAATAAATTCTTTGTTATCTATCATTGATATCATAAAAGCAAGTGTACAATGGCACTCTACCGAACTCAAATCGACTCTTTTTTTTAAAAACTATCGACAGGTTTTCGATTGACATTGGTTATCGAACAAAATATGCTTGATGGTCGTATTTACTGAGCACAAAAAGGGGTGTTTGGGTGCAATTATCATCAAAACCAACTTTCTCGTCGATAAAGTTGCTTCTACACAAGTGATTGATTCTTAGGCCACTAAAGCAAATTGATCACGAACTGAAAGGCCGATAGTCTTTGCCGCGACAAGAACCCCCAATCAAAGAATTAAGATAAAGTGATCACTAAAACCCTCAGGTAAGTAAGTAAGTAAAGGCTTTATTTAATGAGGGTTGCACTAAAATAGTAAAGAATAGTAATAAACCAGTGGCCCTCCTGGCACTAAAAATACAATAAAAATATTAGAGATATTAAAAACTATGGCTTAACTACATAAAAATGAGCTATGAAAATTACAGAATAAAATGATTTAAAACCTGTTGGTCATTGAAAATGCTCTACCGGAGTGATGTTTTGGAACTACTTAAGGTCGCCAGTTTTCGAGTTGATAGTGGCAGGGTGTTCCATGTTTTACATGCTGTCGCTGTAAAAGTTCTTCCTCCTTCCTTTTGACGTTTGACGATCGGACAAGCTATATTAAAATTTGCATATCTGGTTTCTCGTGAGTGAATTTCACTAAAAAGTTTCAGCAAAGTTTTTAAGTAAGCAGGTACATTTCCTTGTAACTGTTTATATACAATGGAGCATTTTGCTATCTTGGCCTGTTCATAAAAAGGTAGCCATTTAAGTTTGTTAAACAACTTTTCAAAGGAGGCTCGAGAATCAGCATCTAAACTGAATAATCCTAGCAGCCCTTTTCTGCAGCTTTAAGACACGGTTGAGGTAATGTTTGCCACGGCTGGACCAAACAACATTT